ATGGAAGAAACTACAATACATATCAGCAACGTGATGGACCTCATGACAACTACCAATGTCCTCCCCCACGAAATTACAATTATGATCAAGAACCATATCGCAACTATAATCAAAGACCACCTCAAGCTCAAGGTTACAATTACAACCAGCGACCTGCACCACAACAAGATAATCGATCTCGGCAACCTTACCAAAATGCAAATCGTGAAAATAACCAAGTCGTAAACAATCAAGCTCCAAGAGCAAGACCACCTGCAGCACGGAATGTTGAGGTCGAAGTCGAAGACTCACAAACTTATGAAGAACCAGCAATACGAGCAATCACGAGACAACAATACAAGTATCAACAACCAGATAATTTGGAAGAACAAGATCACGATGATGAACTGGAAATTATCCCAGAAACCGAATGGAAGAAAAGCAAGAAAATACTTAAAGCAATTCAAGCTGAATTGCAAGCACAAGATCCAGAAACAATCAAAGAACACGACAAACAATCAAACAATCAAGAAACAAGAAGTTTTACCCAAGAGGAGCTGGTACCTGTTCAGCAGAAAGAAAAGTTTCATGTGGAAGAGCAAGCTGAAGCAAGGTTGAAGCAAAACCTGGTGGAAGATGAACAGCCTGATCAGATTGAGCAACCAGCAGAAGAAGACGAAGACCTGCAGTGGATAAGGGAGTTTCAGATGCAGGAACTTGAGGTGGTGCTTCCGAAGTTTTGTGAGCAGACGGAGCAGAAGAAAAATTCAGTGCCAGAGTTTGACGTGGAACAGGCAGCAGCTGGTCAAGCTGGCTTGGAGCAGAAAGCTGTTGTGAAGAAGAAAGAAGAAGATGTTAGACAACAAAGAGGTGTAGAAGTTCAGAACCTTGTGGAGCAGCCATCAAGAGGAGCCGTATACCCAGGCCAAAGTTTGAACTTGAAGGTGGCTGGTGTGAAGTTGGTGAAGAGACGAGGAAGTGTGTTTCTCAGGTTCTGGTGGGACAGAGGCAAGCTGGTTTCATCCTTTGTAGCTCTGTAGGAGTAGAGGAAGTAAGTAGTAAAGCAGCAAAACTGAAAGCCGTCCAAGAGAAGTCGTGGCTGTTTCAAGTTGGATGTTTAAAGTTTCGAGAAGAGGCGTTTGTGCAACTGATCTCGGGAAGAAGCTGGTCAAATTCAGATCACAAGACTTTGAGGAAGCAGTTCAGACTTATGAAGAGGAGGAAGAGGAGGAGGAGCCACATGAGGGAGCAGCTACCCACGATGCAGCAATGGAGCAGTGATTGCGGGACGCAGCACAAGGCAGTCGTGGGAGAGTGGAGAAGGGAGAAAAAGACAAGCTCGAGGATTCAAGCTTAGGAAAGTAAACTTGAGAGGTTCAAGGTTAGGACTGTATTCCTAACCTTGACGTGAGCAGTAGCGACTATAAAAGTAGGACTTAGAATGTTTTTAGACAGATCCCTAATACAAAATACATTGCAATACATCGTCATTCTACCTATCTCTTTGGCTATTCACAGCAATGTCTTACTTACCCACCGCCTTCAAGGGATCAAAGGCGTGGGACTAGCACCATCAAGCATGTGTTTATAGTCTCTACTTGGCTTGGCTCAAGCAGGTAAGTGCATTCATTTTGTAGTGTAGTTTTAGATTTAGGGACTAGATTAGATTTGAATCTCCTAGGAAGATCTCGTGTGGACATTTTCCTCCCAGTTTAGAGATTTCAAGGAGTTTTCAGTAGTGTACAAAAATTTTAAAGGTCCTTTTTTAAAGCTTTTTGTTGGTTTATGCTTATAAGGAATTTTTAAAAGTTTGAGAAATTTTTCTTATATATTTACCCCTTGTATCATCTTATTGTTTAGTTTAGTGCCCTTAAGTATATATAACTATTTGATGTCTCATGTTTAATCATCTCTTTTGATTGAGAAACTTTTACTTGAATGGAGAACATTTAATATATAGTAAGTGTATAAGAGGTTATAAAGTGTTATAAAAAGTGATTTTAAAATCCTTGAGTGTTTAGCAAGCATAAAACCTTGTGATTGAGCTCTCCAAGCTCTATACCAACATCATAGTATGTACATAGTTTTTGCATTTGGTGCATTTTAGAAGTTTGATGTTTACTCATATGCATTAGTCAAGTGTTGTTGCTATATAAAAACTTCTCTTTGGACACATATAACTTAAAGGAATTCTTAAGGCTTATACGCTAGCTTAATTATTAGACAATGTTGTTGGTAAATGAGTTTTAATCATTTATAATAGATTCCAAAGAGGAGCACAATTAAAACATTACACCAATGGTGGCAACTATTCATATCCTTTATAGGGCAATGGACTTCCCAAAGTTCTATCTTGGATCAAGTATTTTGGCTTACAATCACATTAATCAATTTCAAACTTACTTAAGATACAACAAAATCACCAAAGATGCTTTGTCCTAAGAATTATTCTTGAGATCCTTAAAAATAATAGTAGCAGATTGAGCATCTTTCTTGCTTTCAAATGAATGATGGTCATTGTCTACAATGATTGACAAGTTCCTCAAACAATTTAGAATGGAGAAAATTGACTAACAACTCTATATAATCTGCTTTAATTTTGACAAATGCTGCAAAAGAATATCAATAACTACACTATCCAATTTAAAAAGCATTAGGTGCATGTTTGCTATAGAGGCTCATAGTAGATGAGAAGCCTATGGTGTTAGCATTCATCCAAGACTCAAGCTTGAAGTGTAACACAAAGTCCTCAAGTGCCAATATGTCATGAAGATAACTTCGAGTATCAAAAGATACTTGTTGTCAGGAATCCCCCAATTCTTGCCACATTCCTGACTCTCGCAGGATTCCTGACCTGCAGACCACATTCCTGACTCTCGAGACACTTCCCTATTCCTGACTCTCGAGACACTTTCCTATTCCTGACTCTCGAGACACTTCCCGATTCTTGAGTCTCGAGCCACATTCCTGATGATGATGTGGCGCCTCCTCGACCTCAGCTATATTTAGGCCGTCCTCGATCCAAGAGTGGTGGAGCTTCATCAACCTATAGTATATATAGGTTAGCCTTGTTCCATTTCTCCACAATCTGAATCAACGCCAGTCTAAGGCCTCTTCTTTGTTTCCACTAGCTTTTCTCTTTGTCTTTTTGCATTTTCCAATCTTGATCTTGTTAGGGGTCTTGACACTTGTCGGCCAGTCTTTATGGACAATCTTTCCTTACTGCCACGACAGCAGAAGGTCAATACTGCTGGTTCCCTTTATTAGCCCTTTTTATCCAATGTTAGTAAACTGTACTTAACATCTGTAATTGACTAGATGAGCATAAGGAAGGAATTTCTAAGTGTCTATTTAGCCAGACATACTTGGCCCGGCTTGTTAGTTCTCTTTTGCTCTGTCTTGCATTGGCTTGGCAAGAACCCTCGTATATTGAAACTAGTTCCTCAATATCGCTAGATGATAGCTTACTATGTTTGCCAAACACTTTCGCTATTATACCCTTTGTATTAGTCTCATTTCGGTCCCAAATGCTATTTATGGAAAGTGTCTAGATTCACTCATTTGGCATATTTATGGATTATAAAGATTGGCCTATACACAATGGTGTTCGTCCCATGTCCAAATTCGCAATCTAAAGACATTCCATATTTAGTAAATATCGACTTTGTCCCAAAGACTAACTCCTAGTACTAAGGGAGGTTTGGGGTGAAAGGCCAAAACATATGTTCCTCGGGGGGGGGGCTATAGGGGGTTCCAAATGTGTAGGGATAGTGGTTAAAATGCATGTCCGACCACCTAAGACATTAGTTTGGCTCCCACTAGGCTGTGTCACTCCTTGTTCTGTGTCCAAATTGGGTCTAAGCCCAAGCTCCACACTACTCTAGTCGGTGGGGTACCCTCCTCTTCACGTTAGGCCACTGGTATGCCAAAATTGTGCCAGACACTATCTGACACCATTTTACATGTAGATGCTAGATACGGGGAGCTAGTGCTTGTAGGATTGTACTGGACCCTCATTTTATAGCGCAATGGGCTTGGAGTTCAGCTCCAAATTCAGGTGTGCTACATTTAGTATCAGAAGAAATTGTCTCAGCAATTTCTATCCAACTTTTATCGGACTTTCTGACTCAAGTTGCATACGCAGAGACTTTTCTAGTAGATCCGAAGTGACCTGTGTAGGATTAGTTGGATTGCACCATTCGGTAAGAACGTTATATGCATGTTCAGTTACTGATAGAGGTATGCATGCAGCTAACGTGATGGTGAAAAGGAACCGTGTTAATGACATTGAAACCTTTAGATGGGCGAATCGAGAGGAGGAAACTCCTGCTAAAGATGCTGCAAAAGAGGCTGAGGCTGAGTTAGAAGAGGAAGGGCCAGATGCTGCGGCACTACAGCATATGGCTCAAGAAGTTGAGATCAAGAATTTGCGAAAGGAAGTCCACAAATTGAAGAAGGAGAACAAGAAGAGGAAAAAAGAAGCTGAAGCAGCTAAACCAACTAAACCTAAGCAACTGGACTCCTCTTCAAGTTCTGAGGACGATGAAGTTTTGCAACCGCCCTGTCAAGACCCCCAACAAGATCAAGACTGGAAAATGCAAAAAACAAAGAGAAAAGCTAATGGAAACAAAGAAGAGGCCTTGGACTGGCGTTGATTCAGATTGTGGAGAAATGGAACAAGGCTAACCTATATATACTATAGGTTGATAAAGCTCCACCACTCTTGGATCGAGGACGGCCTAAATATAGTTGAGGTCGAGGAGGCGCCATATCATCATCAGGAATGTGGCTCAAGACTCAGGAATCGTACAGGAAATCAAAGAGTCAGGAATAGGGAAAAGTCTCGAGAGTCAGGAATAGGGAAGTGTCTCAAGAATCAGGAATGTGGTCTGTAGGTCAAAAATCCAGTGAGATTCATGAATGTGGTATGAATTGGGGGATTTCTGACAGCACCCCCTCCTCAAGAACAAGTGGAACGAGGACATGAATGACAACGAAGAGGAGGATGAGATGGGCGGCGAGGGACGGGAGATGGAGAAAAAGAATGAGGACTGGGACGAGAAGGATAGCGGCAGTGGAAGTCCTGATCAAGGTCAGAAGAATGAATCAGGTTGTCTGCAGGTTCCCAAGTGCATTCTTCAGGTCCATAACCCTTCCAGTCGACCAGACAGTAGAGTTTAGACCTTGAGATCTTGGAATCAAGGATGTCCTGAACCTCGTACTTAGACCCATCCTCGCGTTGCACTGGTGGAGGCGGAAGAATGACCCAATTTGGAATAGGACTGGGAATATAAGGCTCAAGGAGAGAAGAGTGAAAAACGGGGTGAATTTGATAGGAGGAGGGAAGTGCAAGGCGATAAGTAATAGGATTAATGATAGCAGTGATAGGGAAAGGACTGAGGTGTTTGAAATCGAGTTTGGGACATGGCCTGGTGGTGGAGATATTTCGCTTAAGGAGCCAGACTTTATCCCCAATATTGTAAGGGGGACAATCCTGACGATGGGCATTGGCAAATGTTTTGTGAGATTCCTGAGCACGATGGAGGTGGAAGGAGATGGAGTTGTGGATTTCCTGGAGGTTGGAGACAAATGTCTTACAGCGGGGATTTGAATGAGAGGATTCGGATGGAGAAGGAAGTGAGAAATTGAATTGGGGATTTCGGCCAGAGTTTGCAAAGAAGGGGGAAACTCGAAGAGAGGAGTGAACAGAGTTGTTATAGGAGAACTCAGCAAGGGGAAGGATATCAAACCAGTCATCCTGATGATAATTGATGAAGCACCTCAAGAATTGTTCTAACGTCTGAATCATTCACTCGTACTGTCCATTAGTTTGAGGATGATACGCCGAAGAGAGGTTGGCCTTCACTCCAAGCAGCTACAAAAACCGTTGCCAGAAATGAGAGATGAACTGAGGTCCCCGATCCGAAACCACACCTGCAGGAATCCCATGAAATCGAAAAATTTCCCTAAATACCAATTTTGCCATGTCCTCGCCCGAAAACTCCTTGGTACACGGCAGGAAGTGCGCCATCTTTGTGAAGCGATCCACCACGACTAAAATGCTATTGAAGCCTCCAAAACTTGGAAGATCACTCAAGAAATCCATGGAGATGGATTCCCAAGGACCCGAAGGGACCGGAGGGAACGAAGCAAACCTGAAAGAAGGTGGCGAGGTACCTTATTTCAGGCACAAGTGTCACAGGAGGTAACAAAAGTTTTGATGTAATCGTCCATGTGAGGCCACCAAAAGTCCCGTGCAACCAGCTCATAGGTCTTTGCGA